TCCTCCTCCTCCTCTTCCTCCTCCTCCCTGCCTCTTACATGAGTAATTTCCCCTTCAAGAGGAGATATCTTGTCCTGTTCATCTGGATAATCCCAGGGCTTAGCACGGCTGGATGCACAGGCATGGATACTAAACGTTTATTAAATGTGTGAATTGGCCTGGCTTACATCGTGCCGAGAGCGTGGGATGTTGATTCAGACACCCTAGGGTTCAATCCTCGAGGTGCCCTTTGCTCGCTGGGCAGCCCTAGCCTTGGTTTTTTCATTCTATTCCTGTCTGGGAGCAATAGTACAGGAATGTCGTGAAATAGTGCAAGGGTCAGCAGGCAGCAGGTGCTCCTGTCGTGGGCAGTGACAGCTGGCACTTTCCTGAGCTGTCTTCACACCCCCAAACCAGTTAGAGGTAGATGCGACCACCCCCTTTATGCAGATGGAGCTGTGGAGACACAATAAGTTTCAAGAATGTGTACCCATGTCGCTAACAGCGTGCATGAGTGAACTTGAATTTGAGCAAAGCTCTGTGACTCCAGAACCCACCTTATGCACTGCCAGTGTGTGCCAGCTGCTTGCTCCCTCGTTCATGGGATGCACTCGGTTTCTGGATTTGGGGGAGGTTGCCCACCCTGCCGTATTTGCCCTTATTCCTTCTGCATGGGTGAAGGAAGAAGAAACAGAATCCAGGGAAGAATCTTAGGCAGTGCCAATGACAGCAATGGCCATCCACCTTTTCAGATAGCGGGTGGCCCAGGGCTTCCTGCAGTGAAGGAGAGCCTGAGAAGCTTGCCGTGTAGTTTATGACTGGTGGGGCTGTGCATGCGTCACTACGTAGTGAAAGATAAGTGCAACGAAAAAGATAAAGATTGAGTGATGGAGGGATTAAAGTGCAAGCCTGCTGGAATCAGACTGTGCCCGTGGGCTGCAGAGTTCGGCATGAACTTAGGAGTGAGGCAGAGAATCTCAGAAGACTTGGAAGAGACGAGGAACAAAAGCACTCCCAGATGAGTGGCGAGGCGATCCATCAGGCGCTGTGCAAAGGAGGAGATGCAGGCCAGGTACAGGTTAGGGGCTGTGACGATGACCAGGTTCTTACCTGTTTTCAGGAGGTGATGTTCTACAGTGGATCATCGAGCGGCTCTGGATCTCCAATGTGGGTGAGTTCAGCTTGCAGTTGGTTATGGCCGACTTTTGCGGTTCAGCACTCTGGGAAGCACAGGCCCAAGCTTTGCCTATGGCTCTGAGACACGTACATTTTAATTTCAGAGACAGGCCTTTTCATGCTTCAAACAACCACCATCAAAGGATCATGCATAATGATTCAATGAGAATCATGAGGATTCTGGGGACTAATAGTAATTTCATACAAAATATTGAGGGTTTGTTAAGCACAGGAAATTGAGAAAGATTCAACCCAGAAAGACTTGTCAGAGGGCTGCAGCGTACACCTGGCCTGGAGAAGGATGCTGCTTTTGAATTAGTAAAGGGGAACAAAATGAACAGGAAATGAAAGGCTGTGAGGGAAAGCTGGGAGAAATGGTATCTTTTAGAGTAGAGGCTGTGGTGGCCAGAGTCATAAGAGGAAGCCGCGGGCAGCTTTTAGGGCTGGCGATGTGTCCGATAGTGTGGATTTATGCTGCCGTGATGGCTGGCAGCTTGAAGCATGGATTAGGGCAGAAAGAGCAGATGTCACACTAGAGAAAGGTTGTTGGTGCAGCAGGCATACACACTGCCGGAGGGTGTGGGGCTTGCCGAGAGAAGTGAATGCTGGGAGAAAATCTTCCCAAACTTTGGAGGATCAAGGGGGTGTGGGCTGGAGTCCCTGGACAGAGTGGTCCAGGAGGACTGAAGAATTGGACTCTTTCTGGAAAAAGGAAAGTGCTGCTTCGATGGGGGCTTCTGAGAAAGAGCAGGAAGGCTTTCTTTAGTTGTTCCAAATTCAGAAACAAAGCTTAGCTTTCATACAAAGTGGGGAGTGAGGTGGGAATTAAAGTGTGGTGGGTCAGAGCAGAAGGACTTGGACATAGGCAGAGTTTTGCCTGAGGTAGTTGACAATAAACTACTTTTTTTCCCTTGAGAGAGTGTCTTAGTTATTCTTCTTTCATTGCTGGGACAAATACCTGACACTCAAAATGAAGGAAGGAGAGGTTTACTTAGCTCACAGTTACTGGAGGTTTCAGTCCATATCCAGCTGGGTCCAAGGCAGAGCAGCACATAGCAAACAACTTTTCATGGTGGTGGCAAAGAGCAAGAACAGAGAAAAGGGGGTACAACAGCTCAAGCAGCTAACTTCTCTTCCCTCCTTACATTGAAATGCAAATTACCTGCCCCAGAGCAGGTGCAGCATCCACACCCACAATAATCAATCACAAACTCCAGAAGCAGCCCCGAGACCGTGTGAGGCTTTGGGGGACAACTAGACACAAACCATAACAGAGAAGAAGTGTTGGTCAAGCATGATGTACGCTAACCACACTTGTGGTCTCTTCTAGATTCAGAGAGCTTGTAGATGCTTCTCCAGGGGGTCTCTCTTCGTCACCCGCCAGTCATTGGTAGTGGGCCCTGTGTGATCCCTGTTAGCATTCAGACTCGCTGCTTCCTGTCTAAACTTACTGGGTTGTCACTTCTGGGGCAGGACCGGGGCCATCATCCTTTAGCCAAGCTTCCCAGCCGATGCCTGTGCTCAGGCATGTTGGGGAGCCACTGTCCCACCCTACAGAGAATCAGACACTCTCCTGGAGTGAGGTGCTGTGTGGGCTAAGAAGTGAGGTCTCCCTTCCTCTCCCACTCTTACCATCTGTGTCGGAACGCTTCCTTCCAGAAGCGCAGAACTTGGGCAACTTCATTGTCAAGTATGGCTACATTTACCCTCTGCAAGACCCCAAGAATCTTGTTCTCAAGCCCGACAGCAGCCTCTACCGATTTCAGGTGAGTTTTGATCTTGACCTTGGGTGTCCATATGGGCTTGATCTTATTTGAAAAGCAGTTGGCTGGCCTCATACACTCACAGATCAGGAATTTTGAAATGGTAGAGGGAACTCTGGTGCTTTTGCCTCTTCTGTCCCAAGGCTGGGAATCCGTGAGGTCGTACTCCAGGGGCGAAGTATGTTTTCCCTGTTTTCCTTTTTAGACACCGTATTTCTGGCCCACCCAGCAGTGGCCAGCTGAAGATACAGATTATGGTAAATAGTTCACCCCACCTGTGGCTTCGGTCTTGGCACACTGCTTGCTTACTTGCTGTATTTTGGTGACATTTGTCTTGTGGTCACCATGACCTTTCTGTCAGCTTGCATCTGTGTTGGGAGTGTTCCCTGGGGGCAGGGGCTGGGTCTGCCAAGCGTCCTCTCTGGTACTCTGGAGCAGGGCAGCCTCATGCTGAGAGAGGCTGCTGGGGGGGGGGAGGTGTGTGAAACATGACACTGATGGCACATGTCCTACTTGCTTTTGCAGCCATCTATCTGGCCAAGAGAAATATCAAGAAGAAAGGGATTTTAGAAGAGTATGAAAAGGTACAGAGATGTTTTCAAATAGAGCTTATTGTACTTGAGTCAAATGTAACCATGAATTGTGCTTTTCCTTCTTTCTTGCATTTATTTGTACATCCATCCATCCACCCACCCACCCATCCACCCACCCTTCTATCCAGCTAGCCAATCAGCCAGCCAGCCACCTATCCATCCACTTACTTGTTTAGATATGACTCATGGAAGCAAAGGGGTTCTTCCCTGTGCTTAGCTTCAGTGTCCTCTGCTGTAATTTAGGTCTCTGGTCACAGAGTATCTCATCTCTCCATCATGTTAGCTGTCCCAAAACAATATGACTTAAGGTACGTGATAACAGACAATTACTCGGTGAACATATTTGAACTTAAGTTTATGGCGCAAAACCAGTGACATAGATGTTTGTTTTAGGGTGAGGGAGTCAGATTTACCAAAGAATGCATCCTAACCTTCAGAAGGCTAACAGTTCTGTAGAAGGAAAGAATCTTGCTGTGTTTTCATTCTTTAGAAACATGTTTTAGAGCCAGGGATGATGGTACAAGCCTGTAACCCCCACTACTCAGGAGGCTGAGTCAGGAGGATGACAAGTTTAAGGCCAGCTGGGGCAGCTTAGTGACGCCTTGTCTGAAGAAAAAGAAGGGGGTGTAGTTCAGAGGTAGGGAGCTTGTGTAGCATGCATGAGGCCCAAGCTTTAATACCCAGAAACTAACACACACACACACACACACACACACACACACACACACACACACAAAGAAAAAGGAACATGCCTTTAGAAGGGCAAACACTGCATGCATGTATGAATGTTCAGGCTCACCTTTGATATCTACTGCTGAAAACTGAGTTTCCATATTCTTTCTCATCTGCGGTTCTCTCTTTCTAATCAGATTTGGGGTACACTCAAACAGAATCAACCAAGGAAAGGAAGATGTGCTATGACAGCTTTTGGGAATTCCGTGCTGCCCCTGGAATGAGCCCGTTGGCTAGTGGGAGAGAAGGGACTGGGCTGTCCCTGCTGCTGTGGGGACCCGCGATGCACCCTCATCGGCTTAGGGCGTTTTGCTCGGACACACATGCCCTGTGACATGGGCTTATGTCCTCATTTTGTTTTTCTTCTCCAGGAAAATTATAATTTCTTGAACAAAAAAATTAACTACAAATGGGACTTCGTCATCATGCAGGCCAAAGAGCAGTACAGGTGAGTGAGAAGAGGTTGGATCGGCCTCCGGCTGGCCTTTCTCCTTCCTTGTTTCCTTTTAAGTAAAATAAACCTTCGTCGTTCATTTCAGTGCCAACCGCAAGGCCTGGCTCGTGGAATGGGAGGATGCAGCCTCGTGTGTGAGGTGGGAGGGGAGCAGGCTGTGAGGCTGCTAGCGCGGGAGCCGAGGGCCGCGCGGTGAGGGTTTGCAGGGCGAGCTGCGGGAGTGACCTTGAACCTGGTAGCTGTGTAGGAGGAATCTAGGTGGACGACATTGACGGTGGCCAGGAGGGAGAGGAGGTAGGGGAAGGACATTCTAATCGGGCAGAACCGGAGTGTATAGTTAGCAGCGCCTGCTGGACCAGAGCAAAGAACAGCAGGTGGCAAGGTCTTATCTGGGGACATCAGCAAGAGCAGATCTCGGTGAGGCTTTATGCCGAGGCCACGTGAACCAGGGAAGGGCTGGCCAGGAGAGAGGCTGAGCCGGGTTTGCACGTTCGATGCTGCCTTGCTCACACTTTTCCATCTGCTGCATCAGAATCAGGTATCTGTCTTGTGCATGACGGCTGAGTATAAACACTGCGGAGGGCGAGTGGCGGAGAGAGTGCACGGCTCAGTCTGAGGCTTGGTAGCAAACACACCCCAACTCTGAGGAGCCGGTGTGAGTTACAGTGACGCCTCTTACCTGAGCTTGCAGTTCAGTTGGCAGAACAGGGTGTTCGGTCATGGCCCACTTCAGAAGGCAGGGAGTGGAACTGTACACCCCTCCAGGGGCTGGAGAAGTGGGAGATCAAGGGGACCCCCACCAGTGCGGATCAAAGCAGCTGACTGCAGCTCGCCCCGCCTCCTCCTCCTCCTTACCTGGGACGACCCCGCTTTCTCCTGCTTGGCGGGGCTGCCTGGTAGAGACCTGTGTCATGCCCTTCCCAAGATGCAGCGAGGAGTGGCAGTCATGGAGAGCAGTGGTACATCCAAGTACTACTGGTCCAGGAAAAAAACGAGCTGGCAGCCGGGCTCTGTTTCCCCTCACTGTGACCCAAGGGCGTTCTTGGGAGAGCTGTTGCTGTTCTTTAGCCATGAACATGTCACCCCCCAGGCACATTACTGAGGCTTAGAGAGATTTTGGCTAAGAACACTAGAATATCTTAACTCCATCTCCAGCACTGGTGTTGCGTTCTATAGAGAGCCCTTTCTAGTCTGTGTTGAGATCCAGGAAGTTTATACTTGCAACTCCAAGGAAAACTTACTGGAATTCTAGCGAGTTAATTCCAATCTACCACTTCCAGGGCAACCCATAACAAGAATAAAGACACTAATGCATATCTGTAGTTGTGGAAAGCAAGCCAAGGGGGTCCAAAGTCCAGCTAGGAGTATGCTAACTGAAGAAAAGGCGCCTCGACCCAGAGTTTATTAATTCATGAAGGAGGGCGTGGCTTGAGGATGAGCAACTGAGAATGGCAGAAGCAATGAGTGCTGTGAGCTGGGCAAGGTAGGAGGCCCCAAGTCACCTCTGCAGTGTGCAGAGGGATGGATACGCAAAAGAGTCATCTGCAGGGCACAGCTAGTATCTCATGTTTTGGGATCGGTGCTTCAGCTCTGACGTGCAATGCTGTATGTCCAGGGAAGTCATAGGCTCAGGCCCAGCCCACAGCATGCAGCGCGGTGGGTGGTGCTCTGTCCTGCCCTGGCTCACCCTTGTTCCCTGGGAGCTACGGGGGCGGGGTAATGCTGGCCTGTTGATCTGCTTCAAAGCTGCACATCACCTTGCTGGACTAATTTGCTTTGCTGAAAGTCGATAGAAAGGATAAGGAAGAGTCCTAGCCAGCTCTGTACGTATCAGTGTATGGAAACAGGGGCAGGTTTAGCCAAGAATGGAGGCAATTGTTCTTCCTTCAAGGAGAGCAGTCCAGGGGTTCCTCCTTAGCATGCCTAGTGGACTCCAGCACTGGGCCAGGCCTCAGAGCCACAGAAGGAGATGTGCTCATCTCGGTAGCCCTGCCAGGCCGTCCGTGTCCTCTCTGCTCGGAGCAGGATGACCCCAGTCACCCACAGGACCACAGGCTCCAACAGAAGCCTTCCAGACCTGTAGGACATTCTCCCCCTCCACTCAATTCTCACTGCTGTAGCATGACCCATTCCTGAAAGTCTCTCACCTTCCAAGATGCCCTCTAAAGGCTTGGCTTAGCCTCAGGGCTGCCTTTGATCTCAGATTTAAGGCCTCAGCACAAAGTAGGGGGGCCATGTGGGTTGGCCCATGATGTTGTTTTTTTGTTGTGTAGAGCCTCCACTTTGGGGTTCCACACTTAGCACCCAGCTGTCTGCTCAAGCTCTCAGTTGATCTCGTCCCTTAAATCTAACTTGTGCATCTTGGCTTGCTTCTTTCCCTCACTCTCCCAGCCTCCTCTCCTGAGCTCATCTGCCAATATAAGGAAACACCATCCACCCTGCCCTCAGTTACCATGTCTGGTTATTTGGTTTTGCTGTTGCCTCTTGCGAAGCCCCTTCTGCTAGTGTGACACTGTTTACCTCTGCTACTCCTACCATGTTGGAACCAGCCTTAAAATCCACTGCAGAGTAATGTCTTCCCAGCTGCCTTTCTGCTGTTTTGCTCCTGTTTTTGAAACACATTCAGGTTGTGTCATCCTTCTCTAAGCTATCAGAAAAGATGTTTGCTGCAAAGATGTCACTTCCTCCCAAAGGCTTTTCTGATGAGCACTCAAATCATCCTCAACCTAGTGGCTCAACACAGAAATAACTGTTTTATTACGTGTCATGATTCCATAGGGCAGGAATATGAGGAGGGTTTGAGCAGGCAGTTCTGACCCAAAACTTCCAAGTCTGACTGTGGGTGGGAAGTTGAGGTGACGAGGAGCAGCGGGCATCCTCTGCCACCTTCCAGGAGCCCCTGGGCTGGCCAGTGGCCTGGCTTGAGCTTCCTCAGAGTATGGTTGTTTGCTGTTGGTGGAAGCTTCCAGAACATATATGCTAGTGAGTAGCCTAGCAACTTCCCAGCCTCAGAGATCACACAGCACCATGCCTTACATGCCGTGTGGGTCGGAGCTGTCACCAAAATGCACCTAGCTTCAGGGGAGGGGACCTAGACCCTTCTGCTGTTTCCTTGTAGTGCATAGCACATGTCGCAGTTCAGTAGTTATTTCTTAACTATTTGCGTAATGTTTAGACCAAAAGCTACTCAAAGGCCAGGATTATGTGTCTAGTTAAAAAAATATACTTGCATTATTGCAGCATAAGGGAAGGTTAACAAATACGTGAATGAATGGATGAACAAACTGTGGGGTTGAAAGCCTCAGAAGTGGCCAGAGACAACGATTCTTAGTCTCCTAAGATTTCATCTACTGTGGCTGCCCTCCAGTAATGCCTGCCGCAGAGAGGCAGATGCGCAGAAGCAGAGCGGATCGCCGGCTCAGTTAGAGACTGTCCTGCAAGGCTGGTGCGCACCACCGAGGCCCACGCTGCCTCGTCTGCCATGGTCTGCGCTCCGGAGGACAGGAGCGGGTTAACCTGGTAGAAAATCCAGTTAGGTTGTCAAGGAGAAGCAAGAGCGGCAGTGTTGATTCTTCGGTTCCAGAGGAGGCTGCAAAACACCCTGGTGGGATGGCGCCGCTCACCCGCCGGCTCCCTGGGCGTCATTATGTTATTCACAGTACATTAACGGAGAAATAAATCCACGGGCTCCGCCGTGGGGAGGGCTCGTGCGTCATCTCATGTTGCCTGGGAAAACAAGGCTGATAAATGTGTGTGCAGCTTGCTGTGGAAATGGGCCGGCGGGGCTCCAGTGAGATCCTTCGGGTTCCTCACTTCTGCAGGAGGACACCCCAGAAGCAGCACTTCCAGTCTCTCATGGATAAGAGGGAGACCAAGGAGAGGGAAGCCTTTTATAATCCCCAGCCGAGGTCACAAGGCTGGTTCCACGTGCACTGAGGAGGGAGAAAAGTAGCCGCTGGCAGGTGCGCAGGAGAGAGAGAAGCCCTGGGCCAGCACGTCCCCCTCGCAAGCCCTGGCACTGCTGGCTGCCTGCCTGGCCGGAGGGTGCTTATGTCCTTCACCAAACCAGAAACAGAGGTCCAGTGTGGGCCTGTTGGTCCTTCCTGCCGGCTCCCAAGGCTGGTCTTGGTAGCATGACCCTTGGGGGCCAGTGTTATTTGGGAGAGCAGGTCGTGGGGGCTGGTGTCCCAGGTTCAAATCTCACCTCTGCCTCCTGCCGGCTGTGTAGACCTAGCAGGGGCTTCATCCCTTCTTCCTTCATTCCCTGACCTGGGAAGCCAGGAAGGGCCGCTGGGCAGATAAACCAGGGTGGCATGCGTTAATCCGGGTGAAAGTACCTGGAATGCTGCCGAACGCGGTGTCCCTATTTGCTGCTTATTATTACCACAGCATGAGTGAGTCAGCCGGGCCTGTGGGGAGAGCGCCCGGGTCACTGAGAGTGGGGATCATTCGGGACCAAAAGATGCAAAATGCCACCATCCCTCAGCATGGGTTTTGGTTTTTCAGGACTGGGAAAGAAAGGAACAAGGCGGACCGGTATGCGCTGGATTGCCAGGAGAAGGCGTATTGGCTGGTGCACCGGTGCCCTGTGAGTACCTCCTCGTGGGTCCCCCTATTCTGGGGCTCCCCACACGCTTGCTGTGCTCACCGTGACCGTGAGCTCCTTTCCTACTGGGGTTCAAGTTGGATCTGCAGAAGGAGCTGCCAAGGGTTGGCTACAAATGCAGCCGGAAGAGGGCACAGCGTGCCTCCGGGTGGGCTCTCCCAGCCCCTCCGTCTGCGTCAGGCAGTGAGGACCCTCGGTGAGTTTGTCTCTGGTGAGGGCTAGGGCTGTTATTTGTTGGTGGTGGTGGCGTTGAAGATACCATATACCTTGGCAAGGGAATATAAGAAGAAAAACCTTGAGAAACTAGAATACAGATCACAGGCAGAAAACTGGAATGCAGCGAGAACAGGGCCCAGCGTCCCGCGTCTCCACGCCCTCGTTTCCTCTCCCAGATCTGATTCCCAACGGCTGAGCTGGGAGGGGGCATGAAGTCAGGGCGCGTGTTAAGTTTCACAATGTCTGGAGCTTCTTGCTTCTCTGGCTTTGGGTTTTCCAGTGGCCCAGAGAGGTGAGCTGTCTGCAGCAGATGGAATCCAGCCCAGCTCATCCCTGGGGCGTGGGAGCCTCACTTCCCGGCCCGGGGAAGGGGCTGCTGACCGCCCCCTGCTGGGGTGAAGGCAGCTGCTGCAGTTTCCTCCTGCCTCAGGTGCCCGAGCCGCCCCTGGATCGTGCATGGCAAGCGGGAGATGTGGAAGATTCTGGAACTGAAAGAGCTTGAAACAACTGTCTTTCCTAGTCCTGGGCTGCTGTTAGGTCTAGAACCTCTCAGAACCAGAGAGCGAGTTGGGTCAGGCATGGTACCTCAACTTAGGGATTTTTGAACTTCCACCCCCTTCCTATTTTGGCTCTTTTGCTTATTTTCTTTCGGTGTATAACAGGTTCTCTGAGATCTCACCTCTGTAGGGGCGTGGGTTTGGAGGTATGTTGCTGAGGTTGCTCCCCAGGCAGTGTCCCCCCCCACCCCCTCCCGTCATGATCCTTCTCTGGGGAAGTCAGTTTGCGGAGAGCTGGCTCAGGCCCCGGGGGCTGGGTGTGTGTGGCAGAGCATGCAGGCCTAGGGGCACAGGTCAAAGCACAGGCCTCCCCGTCAGTAGGTTAGGGGTGAGGGCTTTGTATGAAGTGCGTAAGTCTCGTGGGTTCCAGAAGCACACCTGGGTGAGCATAAGGGGAAATGGTGAGTGTGCCATCCACAGGGCAGGGCGGCCCTCATGTCCGGGGCTGTCTGCTCCTCGCAGAGTGGAGAACAGAGACTCCACGGCATGAGGATGCCCATGCAACTGTCCTCCTTGCAAAATGCCATAGGCTGGTTGCGCACGGGACCTACCCAGAGTCCCTCTCCTCCCTCTTTCCCTGAAGCTGGGAAGCCCACAGGAAAGAAAATGAGTAACAGGTCACCAGGTCCCCCCTCCCCCCCGTTCCACCTGGGGAGGCGCTCAGCCCTCCTCCAGCAGGCAGTGGCTGAGTGACCCTTCACTGCACTGTTATAGAGGACATATATGTGACAGTGCATGCCTGAGACTGTCAGTCCCCTCCTCCTCTGTCACTGCCGCCATGACCTTAGTATGGCCTCCCTCTCCATCGCCCCTTTGGTCCCGCTGTGTCCCCTCTGCCACCTCTAGCACCACTGTCTTCGCGATTGCCACTATTACTGCTGCCCTCACTGCGGAGCCTGACTGCTCCGAGCAGCGTGCCAAGTGCTCAGCACTCGCTGTCTCAGTTCCTGTCCTCCGTCTGTGCGGAAGGTAGTGGTATCACTCTCATCTTAGGATGGGCAGGCACCCTGAGGCTTGGTGCCGTCGCCCATTTGCCCGCAGTTTCATGGCCTGTGAGTGACAGAGCACCAGAATCCCCATAGAGCTGACTGCGGAGCCTTCCCCTGGCTCCCTGTGCCCTTTCTTGTCTCATGACAAAGGCCCCTGATACCTTTGTGCCTTTCCATGTTTTTTTTTTTTAAATGTATTTGGTGCAGGGTCTCATACACAGCTCGGACTCCTAGTGATCCTCCTATTTCCAGCCTCCCCAGGGCTGGGATTACAGGTCAGTGGTGCCATGCCAGGACTTGGTGGCCTACTCAGCATGCTCGGGGCCAATGTAGCAAGTGCTGCTGGGCATGGAACCCCAGCCCCTGTGCTTGCCTAAGCAGGTGCTTAATCTGCTGAGCTATCTCGCCAGCCAGCATGTCCATGTTTTTGTTATGCCTTTGGTCATGGCCAGAATCACTGCTGTCCCAATAAATGCAACACATGGGCTGGTACATCCCTGGCCCCTCCTTGAGCGCAGGGAGGACCCACATCCTGAGCTGGGCTCTGATGGAAGTGGAGCAGCCCGATACTCCCAGCACAACGCTGCTCTGCACACCTCTCCTACCTCACCGCTGCTGTCCTCAGGGTTAAGCAGGCCAGTGGCTCGTGCCTACAGTCCCAGCTGCTTGGGGGATGGGGCAGGAGGACCAGGAGGCTGGAGCCCACCTGGGCAACTTAGCAAGACCCTTTTACAAAATTATATATATACTGGGGCTTGAAGCCAGGGCCTTTGCACTAAGCTACATCTCGTTCCTTTTTCATCATTTTTTAATTTTGTGACATGGTTTTTCTAAGTTGCTAAGTTGCCCAGGTGGGACTCGAACTTTCCATCTTCCTGCCTGAGCCTCCCAGAGTGCTGGGATTGCAGGTGTGCACAGCCACGCCTTGCTTAAAAAGAAATTAAAAAGGCCTGGGGAGGTGGCTCAGTGGTAGCGTACTCCACAAGCATGTGTGAGGCCCTTGTTTCGAGACTTTAGTACTACAAAAAGAAAAGCAGGTAGGAATTCATCCGGATCTTCTCCCATCTCTCCCGAAACACTCTCTACTCCTCTGTTCACTTGCACAGGCAGGGAGGACAGCGAGGGGCAGCCCAGCTGCACACAGCGCAGTCTGTCTGACGAGCCTGGGGAGTCTGGGAGCCTACAGACTGTCAGATCAGATCGTCTCCAGGAAACCCAAACAAACCAACAGTGCAGGCGGAAACAAGGCAGTCGGGCAAACCACGCATCCGGCAGTGTGGGTGCTGAGCCGCCACCCTGTGCAAGCCCTGACTGTGGCCACCTGTTAGAGTGTGGGGTTTCCTGCACCTGCTCACTGGTGCATTCATTCGTCCAGGAAACCCTCGGTGCTGGATAAGGAGCTAGGCGCTGGGCACAAAGCCCCACCCAGAAGCCACCGAGCACACGTGAGGCTCTTGGTGCAGATGGGCTGGGTCACATCGGCACTGCAGTACGGCATGGGGACTGTCACCACTCCATTGCCCAGAAGGAGAAAATCAAGGTTCAGAGAGTTCACCTTGCGCAGGGCTAGGTGCGAGCCCACATCTGTGTGGTTGCTAAGCCCTGCAGGCTGCTCCTCTGCAGGGGGTGTGGCACCCTTCTCGGCTGGCTCATAATCCAAATTGCCATGCGCAGGAGGGCAGCGCTCCTACAGAAATGACACCCGAGTGCAGAGCAGGCTTAGTGAGCAGAGTGGTCGCAGGGGTGCGGGGCTGGGCGAGGGACCCTTGCCGGGTGCTACAGGAGGGTGGCACCACTGCCAGAGGCCAAGGCAGACGTGGGCGGTGGTGACCAAGGGCTCTGACCCCAGTTCCACCCAGAGCTCAAATGCTACCCCAGATTCAGTCTCCTTTGGTGAAGGAAATGGTGATCCTCTTGTTTGTCACCCAAAGGGCTGATGCAAACTGTCATCTGTAAACGAGCATAGGGACAGCTAGCATCATTTCGGGGACTTTCCTGCATCTTTGCTGTACCACCCATGCCTTGACTTTTTGTGAGGGTGCAGCTCACTCCTGGCTTTGGGAGTGGAGACTGGCAGTGCAACCTGAGTCGAAGGATCGGGAATCTGATTAAGCAGCCCAGTGGCCCTTGTTTCAACCACAGATGCAGGCAGTCTGGAGAGGAGGCGCTTGTCGTCCAGTTCTTGCCAGGGGTGGGCTAAATGCTTCAGGACAGTGGGCATGAGAGGACGTGTCCACCTCCAGCTGGGCATAAAATTGTAGATCACCCATGTCTGGTCCTAGCAGAATGGCAGAAAAAAATGAAGATACATCCAGTGTGGTGAAGCACGGTGAAACTATTCCTGTGAAACTGTCATGGGCCATTTACTGGGGAGAAAAATAGCTGACATACAAATGGGAGAGAACACGTCACATAATCTGGTTCAAAAATTTAAAAATTAACATATATATTTTGTGAATGTCCAAGCATGTATGCCAGATGCCTAGCGGGTAGTGGAGGATGTTTGGATTATAAGCCGGGACAACTGTGCTCCGTGATCTCAGCGCTTACTGCAATCTGGTGGAGAGACAAAGACTGTTACCTAAATAAGCAACATGCTGAATGCTGTGGCAGCTCAGAGGAGGCGGGGACCTGAGGATTAGCACAGGGTCAGGGAACACCTCTCTGTGGCAGTCACGTTCAGGCCCAGGTGTGCTTGTGTCACCCAAATTGTCTCTCTGTTTGTTTCAGTCCCTTCCCTGCCCCTTCCTCCTCCCTCTTTTCCTCTCCCCTCCCCCTCCCTCTTCATCTCTTTTTGCTTTCTATCCCTTGCCTCCTTCTCCCTCCCTCTTCTTTCTCTTCTTCTCCCCGCTCTGTCGCCCTTCTGTCTTCCCATCCATCCCTTCCTCTATCTCTGTCCCTCTTCCTCTCCTCCTTTGCTTTTCTGTATTTTGTTTATAAAGTAATTTAGTGCTTTATTTCTTCTATCCCTTACATCACAAGGGTCTGATGCTTCAGGAGAAAGCCTGCAACCCAGCACAGGAGATGAGCAGCAGAGAAGATGGGAGGGGTGGGGACAGGGTCACCTAGCGGCCCCACATTGACCCTTCTCTGGAGCACTGATTCCTGGGAATGTCACCCCCTCACTAAGAAAGCCCGTAAAGTCCTCCCCTACCTGAGCCACCCGCCCATATTTAGCAAACTGCTTTGTTTATCCTTAGGGGACACAGTTAGGGCATCATGTGGTGGCCTCACCCCTCCTCTGATTGACTTAGGGAAGTTCCCATGACGCTGGGGAACTTCCTGCCTGTGGCTTCAGGGCAGAAGGGTCTGCAGGCAGCGCTTTGCAGGGCTGCATCATCCACCCCAATGTCCTGGGCCCTGACAGCTCCTCTATGGAGCGCCCTCTTGTGTGCTAGTGACTGTGTCAGCGGGGCGAAGGCCATCCGATGGGCCCGAGATCAGAGCTGCCTGAAGGATACATGAGTGAACGAGTGAATGAATGACCTGGGGTTCCCCTAGAGCCACAGAGACAGAAAGGCAGCCCCCTGGGGGCAAGGGGTGAAGGCAGGGCCCCAGGTGGGACCACAGCACCATGAGGAGCAACAGACTTCGAGAGCTTCTGCCTACAGAAAGCTTCAGGGGAGGCAGGAGCTGGAGGAGCAGGGTTGCCTGAGGGTGGCATCTGGCTGCTCCTAGGAGCTGGCAAGAGAAGCTGGGATGGGAGACAGGCTGACTGGGTGGAGTAACAGAGCCCAGAGGTGGAGGTGGCTGTGGCTGGACAGGCCGAGGCTGCGCTGTCGGGGAATGTCCCCATGCTGAGTTCAGTTATGCAGGCAGACTGTGGCACTCGAGAGCAGTTGAATTTATGTCGAGTGGGCAGGGGTAGTTGGAAGGAAGACATGGGTGACTCATTCTGGTGACATTCCTTAGACCTCCAGGGCTGAGCGCAGGGTTCAGCACGTAAGAATGGCCATGCAAACATTTGTTGATAGAGGTCTACACAGCTGGGGTAAGGGTGGGAGTCCCTTCTCTGCCCTCCTCCTCTTCTCTCTCTCTGTCTCTGTCTCTCTGTCTGTCTCTTCTGTCTTTTTCTGTCTCTCTTTCTGTCTCTCTGTCTCTGTCTGTCTGTCTGTCTCTCTCTCTCTCTCTCTCTCTCTCTCTCTCTCTCTCTCTCTCTCTCTCTAAGACAGGGTCTTGCTATGTAGCTCAGGCTGGCCTTAACTCACTACATAGCTCAAGCTTGCCTCCAACTCCCAGAAGTCCTTCTGTCTCTGCCTCCCGAGTGCTGGGATTACAGATGTGTGCCACCACGCCCAGCCTACTCATCCTCTTTGTTTCCCTTCCTTCACTAGGCTGTAGGTCCAGTATTTTGCCTCCATGGTAGCCTGTTGATCTACATTACTGTCTAGCAAATTAAATATGGGGTGTCCTATTCAAATTTTAGATAAAAAACAAATAATTTTTATATAAAATGTACTTTGTATTAATATACATTTCATAGCTTTAGTACAAATATACAATAAGTATAAAAAATGAGACATAGATCCTTTGCTGTGTCCTTTACCATGTACCAGAATCCCAGGTTCTTCTCTGGAAGTCCCAACTCTGAGCTACAAATGTTTCCAGTCCTGTTGGTGAGGCCGAATCTGATCGAGGGGAAGCCGGTGCTTCTCGGTTCTTGCCTCCAGGGTAGTCAGCCTGGTTAGCAAGAGGCATTAAGTCCTTGGCGGGTCCTGCTCCTGAAGAAGGAGGTGAAAGTCCTCATTTCAGGCCTCGAGATGTTGGGGAGCCCCAGTGAGGCTGGCCAGAGAGCTGGGTTGCCCACTGTGGAAACTGGACCTGGTGAAGATTGCAGAGCAGCTTAGCCTGCTCCTTCACGCGGACCACATGATCTTAAGCTGAATGCAGCCTCCTGCTCGATGCCAGCTACCCGCTGTTGACTGTGTCACCCCACCCCATCTTTTTAGATCCTCACAAGAACCTGCCAGTTAGGAAGGGCCCCAAATGGGTCAGAGCATGCCAAAAGAAGCGGTTTTGGAGATCTATGGCACAGCTAAGAAGAACCAGGATTAGAAACCAGAGGTGCCCAGCTTAAGCCTGGCATCTCCCAAAACACTGCTGTGTGATGCCTCTAAATAGAGCCCAAGACAGAAACTTCACACTGTGGGGGAAAACACTGTGGGAGGAGTCAGGAGCTCCACACATCAATCCATGTGAACTTCAGTGAACTTGATCATCCATCCGCCCCCCCACCCTCCCCGCTACCACTCCTGTCCCCCATCCATCCATCCACCCATCTGCCCATCCATCCATCCACCCACCCACCCATCTATCCATCCACCCATCTGCCCATCCATCTGCCCATCCATCCACCCACTCACCCACCCATCCATTCATCCCCCATCTATCTATCTATCTATCCATCCATCCATCCATCCATCCACCCATCTGCCCATCCATCCATCCATCCACCTCTCTCTCTCCATCCATCCATCCATCCATCCATCCATCCATCCATCCATCTATCCATCCATACACCCACACATCTATCCATCCACTCATCTATCCATCCATCCATCCTCCCACCTGTCCATCCACCCATCCATCCATCTGCCTATCTGCCCGTCCACCCATCCACCCATCTGCCCATCTATCCATCCACTCATACACCCACCCACCCACTCATCCACCCATCCATCCATCTACCCATTTGTCCATCCATCTATCCATCCACCTACCCATCCACCCATCCATCCAACCACCTACCCATCCATGCATCCATCCATCCACCCATCTGCCCATCCATCCACCCATCTGCCCATCCATCCATCCATCCACCTCTTTATCCATCCATCCTTCTGTCCACCCACCCACCCATCTGTCCATTCATGCATCTATCCATCCATCCATCCTCCATCCATCCACCCATCCACCCATCTGCCTACCCACCCATCCACCCATCTGCCCATCCATCCACCCACTCATCCACCCATTCATCCATCTACCCATTTGCCCATCCATCTATCATCCACCTACCCACCCACCCACCTACCCATCCACCCATCTATCCAGCCACCCACCCATCCATGCATCCATCCATCCACCTATCTGCCCATCTATCCACCCACCCACTCATCCACCAACCCACCCACTTATCCACCCATCCATCTATCCACCCATTTGCCCATCCATCCACCCACCCACCCAGCCACCTATCCATCCACCCATTTGCCCATCCATCCAAACATCCATCCATCCACCCACCCATCCACCCATCCCCCATCTATTTATCCATCCACCCATCCACTCACCTGCCCATCCACCCATCCACCCACCTGCCCACTCATCCATCTATCCATCCATCTGTCCATCCATCCATCCATCCATCCATCCATCCATCCATCCATCCATCCTATAGTGATGCCATCCAGCTGTTTACCTATCAACCCATCCCCCCATTCTATCCTTCCATTCTTCCATCCACTCCCACACATCTATCCTTCCATCCTACCGTTAGGTTCTGGGAAGATGTGGTGGCAGAACAGCCTCCGTGAAGCTCCTCAACTCACTTGTAGGGCTTGTAATCTCTGTATCTCTTCACAAGCTAAGCCAAAGTCCTTCTCAGCCCAGTCTCACAATCAGCATCTTGGCAAAGATCTAAAGCCAATCAGAAACAGGAGCCTCCTGTAGTGACCCTTCTATCGTTTTATTCCATTTAGCCAGGGATGAACAATGTGCTGGACTACGGCCTGGACCGTGTGACCAATCCGAATGAAGTGAAGGTAAACCAGGTATGTGTGCACTGTCCTCTGGGCAGGGCCCAGGCCAGATCTGTGTCTGAGAAGGTGTCCACATGTCCCTCGTGGCCACTGGGGCAGCGTGTTTTCCCCTCCTGGAGTGCTGTGTGGAACACATCTTGGCTCTGCGGTGTTGGGATCAGAGGACAGGGAGGCCATGGCCAAGGCCTGTGTGGACAGTGAGCTCATCACTGGCAGCGGAGAGAGAGAGAGAGAGAGAGAGAGAGAGAGAGAGAGAGAGAGAGAGAGAAGCGTGCGTCAGAGCAGGTGGCATCGGCATGCTTGTCTTTCGGTCTCTTCTGAGTCACTTCCTTCTTTGAAAATCTGATGAGAATTATGAGCCCATCGTACCCAAACATGACAGATCGTTCACCCGTCATTCCAGGCAGCTTCTTGGGCCTGAGAAGATTAGAGGCCCAGGGCTCAAAACCTGTGAATCAATGTTGATTTAAACCTTATGCCAAGGACTGGCCAAATAGCTCAGTGGATTAAAGTGCCTGCAAGCAGGTGCAGGGGCCCGGGGTTCAATACCTGGGCCTGCTGAGAGAGCAACTGAGACTGGGCATGGTGCCGTGCACCTGTAATCCCAGCTCTTGGGAGGCTATAAATAGGTGGATCACTATGAGTCTGATCTCATAGTGAGACCCTGAACACCCTGTAGATCCTTCCCTAAATTCAAAAGATAAAAAATAAAGTAAACCTTACTCCACACCACAGGTAGGAGAATACCATAATTTATTTCATATCCCTTTGGGGATTTTTTTGATTAGTGGGTAGTTTTAATTGAAAAGAATGACCCTTTCCACAAATAAGCCACTTCTTAACGGTGGTTAGCCAATTTCTTATGGTTTTCCTTCCCCCTTAAAGAAAGGCAGGGTGCAGGCTGTGGAACCCGCGCCACCGCTGGCACGTGAGGCCCGACAGCTCTTTAGCAGGCAACCAGGTGATTAGCAGCCTTGCTAGCTGCTGCCCATTAGGTGTCTCTGTTCTCCCCGCTTCTCTTTCCTAGTTGTCACCATCAAGTCTTGAGACCCTGCCTCCTCTACCTTGGGGAGGGAGTCAGAGTTGCCCAAGATAAGAAGAACACCGATCCCAGGAATTTCACTTAAAATCCATTTAAACTTGTCTCATTGGTTTGCTTCCAGCATGGTTTGGGGACAGCAAATGTCTGGAGGGGTGTGCTGGGAGAAGAGACCACAGGGGAAGGGGAAGGGGAAGGGGAAGGGGAAGGGGAAAGAGAAAGGAGCAGGAAAGAGGTGGCCCTGGAATGTGTTCAGAGGGACACTGTGTGCCCAGAGTGTCACCAGGGGACTTGTTGGGTTCCTTGTCGGTCGGCCAAGGTGACCCCTCCTTTGTGGCACTCATGTTTCCAGCATCCTTCCCAAGGCAGTCTTTCCCACGTTCCCCTCTGTCAGATAACAGATCAGCGCTGAGCCCTGGGAGGCTTGGTTGCCATGGAAACAGAATCATTGAGTAAAATAGAGAACCCTGGGTGGAAGATTTGCTTTATTATTATTTTTTATATATATATTTTTAATGGGTAACTGGCTGTTCTGGAAACCTCTTTCCTGTGGAGAGGGAAGGGGAGGTGGAGGCCGAAACCGTCCCTCACCCTGCCTTAGATAGGGAGTGGGGACTCAGGGTGCTGCCGAGACCAGCCGTGGGGGGAGGGGAGGATGGGATGAAACCGTCACCAGAACCATCTCGGGGCAAGGAGCTGCGCTGCTGCAGCTGGGTGTTCTGTGCGAGGGTGACTTCTAAGGGGAGCCTCGTCCTGTTCTGGAGGGCTCTGGAGGGAGGGCTGTGCCTCTGGCTTTCACAGCCAGCCCTGCCATTGCTGGGGGCGGAGAGCAAGGTGCAGGGGCACTGTGGCTGGTCCCTGCACGCACAGGGCTCCGCAGGGCTCTCCTTCCGCTGCCGCTCACACGTGTTTCTCTCTCTCTCTCTCTCTCTCTCTCTCCCTTTAGCTCTCCCTCCTCCCTGTGCACCGTGGCTGCCCTGGAGTAGCAAGACCGAGTCCTGGGGTTCTTGAGTTCTGGACCCCTTTTCAGCTTCAGCCGCCCACTTCCTGACCCACCTGCTGGTGCAGGGCTGGAGGCCTGCTGCGCTCTGTCACTTGGCACCAGCGTCTGCCTTCGCAGGGTCCCCTCGTCCTGGTTACCTGCCCTAGAGGACAGGGTCATGGAGAACGCCGAGGGTCGGCCCTGGGCGCCTTCCGACACCTTGAGCCGTGTGAGGTGCCAAGTGTGTGTGGGTCCGCTCCCTTTATTGCACAGGGGATCTAGACCCACTTGCAGGACCCTGAGTGGAGACCAGGCACTGGCCTGGCTGTGGCAGTGACCCCAGGCTTGGCCGTTCCTGCTTGCCTCCGCCTCAGGAGGTGCTGCTCAGCCGGGTTAACCACTGTCCCCTAGTGATGAGAGACTGTGCTGTGTGCTGAGGAGTGGTGGCAGCAGATAGCACCCAGCTCTACCACTCCCTGCCTTTGTGATCCTGGGCAAATTCACGAGCTGTTCAGATATCAGTTTTCTCATGTGCAGAATGGGAATAACAATAGTTCCTCCCTTACATGATTAAACAGGATCATCAATGTGGAGGGTCCAGAGCTGTACCTGTTAGACACTCCACAGCCAGTAGTTGTTATCACAGCCGTCCACGTTGGGAGGGAGGGGATTTATGGGAGACCCCTAACTCAAGGGTAGGGGGCAGGGGTAGGGGCTGACTTTGCCAGTTTCCTGTCTGTCCTCACACTTTCCCCTATTGGGACTGGGAGTAGAGAGAGGGACACGCAGCGGTTTCACGTGCTCTACTGGTAGCTTCTGAGACGGCACAGCCTGTGTTGTTACCCACACTGATCTCAGTGCAGGGCAGCAGGACGGCTCTGGTGTTGCTGTACTCTGCAGAGCACTCAGCTAAAGCCGCCCTGGTGCCCACACCAGTGGGGAACCACCTGCCTTCTTTCAGCCCCGAGAAGCTGGGGAAGGGGTGACTTTAACAGCTGATGCTCAGAGAGAGAGAGAGAGAGACCCACACCAGTGGGGAACCACCTGCCTTCTTTCAGCCCCGAGAAGCTGGGGAAGGGGTGACTTTAACAGCTGATGCTCGTTGGTGGCTTGCTATGCCTGTGCCTACCAGTTGCGGCTGGGGAAGACCACGCCCACCTCTAAGAGCAGGTGGGAACGGAGTGCACTTCCTGTTTCCCCTGGAGGATGCAGGCTGAGGGAGTTGAGATTCTGGTCTAGCTCAGCACCACCCCTTGCCACTGTTTCCAGGCCCAGGTCCTGTGCTCAGGGCCCCCCACACGCAGGTCACTTGGTTAGGCTCTGAGGCCCACCTGACTTGATGCTCTGGAAAAAGGGCCCAACCAACATTTTCGCTCTGCACTGGGCCCTGCACCTGTGAACAAGGTTGCCTACACTTGCAAGGACTTGGCAGGATGGCATTAGCTTCTGGTGTGGTAACTTCCGGTCCGCCTCTCCTCGGGTGGGTGCTTCTCCTTGATTTTTTGGTCTGCTTTGATTGATGACTTCTGTGCCCCGATTTCTGGGTTCCTGCCTTCGCCCTGTCTGGGTCCCTGTAGGTCGGATGCACCTCCTCGCTTTCTTCCTGCCTGCTCTGGCTCCACTTCTTTTTCTTTGCAGATTCCCGCCCAGCCCTTCCTCCAGAGCTTGTCTCCCCCTGCCTTCCTCCCTCCCATCTGGCTGTGGCCTCAGGTTCATTCAGCCATGGCCCTGACCCCTTTCGCTCTGTGACAGTTGTCTACAGCCTCCGTCTGGCTGGCCAGACCACAGAGCTGTGTAACACATCTAGCTCTGTCCCTGTTTGGGAAAGCCCACAAGTTAAAAAAAAAAATAATACAGCGTTAGAATTTCAGGAATGCAGAGCGCCTAGAAACTCCTTAGGCAGAATATATTCTCAGTGTGACAAAATGTATCACCGGGGTGAGGGGTAGAGGTGGCTTCACTCCAGGAGGGCCAGCTCCTGAGAAAAGAGGGGATTTGTGGGCACATTGTAAGGGGACAAAATGTTTCTGCCTGTTTCATCAGGAGGTGATTTTCTTTGAATCGCCCAGAATAGTGTGTGGGTGTGTGTACTTTGAATAGTTTCATTTCAGAATTATGTTTCTTATGACCTCTGGCTAAGTCAATACTAATATTGAGAGTAGGTTTGTAAGATTTAGCAAATAAAAAACACAAGATTGCCAGTGAAATTGGAATTTCTGATGAACAGTGATAACTTTTTTAGTATAGCCCGACTATTGCCAGCGCTTAGTGTCATCGCTAGCATCATTCCATGTGTGTGTCGTGTATTAGAAGCAGCATGTTAACTCTAACTGATAGCCACGTTTGCCGGGTTTCCACAATATGCCGGCCACCTTGTATATTTATTGACTTCCCTTCTCTTCCATCATTTTATAAACAAACACCCCAGGCTCTGAGATGCTGCTCTGAGATGCTAACTCACTGGCCCAAGCAGGGTCAAGAGCTATTCAGTGACAACCAGGAGTTTAGCCTTTGCCCGCCAATCCCAGAGTCTGCAGTCTTCCTGAGCCATTCCCCGCCTCACTGGCAAAAGCATCTTTCTACCTTTTAGAAAAGCCCAGAGCCCTTTCCCTGCCATGCCCTGGGACACAGACCCCTTGGAGGGACAGAGATACCTCCTAGATGGGCCTAGATGAGGTTGACCCTGTGTGCAGCTATTTTTTTTTTTTTTGTATTTTTATTATCTTTTTAAATTTAGTACAGGGTCTACAGGGCGTACAGGGTCTCACTGCACAGATTGGACTCGTAGTGATCCTCCTGTTTTCAGCCTCCCAAGAGCTGGGATTACAGGCACGTGGCACCATGCCCAGCCTCAATCTCTGGCTCAGCGCGCCCCACGGGTGGGGCCGGCACAGCACACTGGAGATCGGACCCGGCCCCTGGGCTCTGCCTAAGCAGATAGGTCCACTGAGCTATCAGGCCGGCCCTTGTGCAGCTATTTTAAAAGCAAGAAATAAAAGCTAAAATTTACAGAGACAATCCAAGAGAGAGGCAGGGAAGCCTGAGCTTCCACCATCCCCGGTCACAGGCAAGGCAGAACTAACACAAAACTCTGTGATTTGAAATTCTCAGAAAATCAGAAGCCTTTTTGAGCACTGACCAGCTGTTCATGGAAAAGTTCGTGCCATGGAGCTCTGTTTCATGTTCAGAATTATTTAAAAACAGAGAGGTCTTTAGGTGTATAAAGCGATATAAGACAAACAAATTTCATTTTATTTTTTATTTTTAAAAATTTTTTAAAGAGCAGAATATATTTATTGGGGGAAAGAAAGCTCCTGTCCAGAAGGACAGGAGGGGGGCCCTGAGCAGGTGGTCCCCCCAGATTTCATTTTAG